ATTTTTTTTAATTCGAATTTCACTAATTTCAATAAATTTTACAATTAAAAAATTAAGAAGTACATATATACTACACGACATTACAACACATGACACATAGAAAAAATACATAGAAAAATAATTGCACATTTGTGATGGGATAATGAGCCTTTTGTGTGTATATATAGTCTTAATTTTTTTATTGCATTGTTACATGTAGAGAATTGATTTTTTTTTTTAAATCTCACAAAGATATGTACTTGCAAGAAATGACAAATGGATCCTATGCATTTACATTTTGAATAATATTTTGGTAAAACAAATTAAATATGTCAATGTTAGCCGTTAAAGCGAGTCAAATGATCATATATTTATTCAAATGTTATATAACAAAATTTCATATTTTAATCTCTCTCTCTCTATATATATATATATAGCATTTTATCATGAAAGTATACAAATCTAGTGAAAAAATATAAATATTTCACTGTTAAACTGGTAAGAATAAGTTCATGTCATTTTTCACAAATTTATATTCTTTTATATTGAAATATCGTACTAAAAAAATATAATACTTAAATACATATTTTTTAAACTCGGGCTGGTAATCGACTAGGACAGGTCTCTGGATCATCGGGTCACCGATTCAACCGTTGGATCAATAAGTCAATTGATGAATCGGATAATTAATTTAAAATTTTTAAAATTATATATAGCGTATTTTGTCATATAAATATACTTAAAAGTAGCAAAATCAAATGTTTTGTATTTAAAATTTGTAGATTAAAGTGGTAATAATATGTATTTCATGATAAATATTTACCATATAAATATATATATACATAGTTTTATTTTTTAAAAACAAAAAAAAATTAAAAAACTAAATAAAATTAAAAAAATATATATATAGAGACCGGGTCAACTTGGTTGACCCAGTCGGGTCAAATGCCCCGGGTCGACCGAGTCAAGGCCGGGTTGGTCGGGTTTTGATCGGGTCCTTTGTTGCTCGGTCCAAAGAGTCCACCCGGACCAGTTTGGGCCGACTCGCCGGTTTGGTCCGAGTTGAAAACAATGCTTAAATATAACATATATATTAAAGTATAATTATACATTTTTGTTATCAAAATATCACATTTTAATCATTACACCTTAATTGGTACAACTAACATTTGTGAGTTGAACTAGGCAATTTTGTAACGTATACGTAATTATCAAATGAGTCTTTCTGAATTCTAAAAGAAAAGTGGACAAAAATGGCCAAGTTATTGACAAACTCAACCTTTAGCTTTATATTCTTAGCTATTTTTTTTTAAAAAAAAAAATTAATTTTTTTTATGCAGTTTATGTTGAAGGAAGCACTTTTTTTCCAAAGTTGGAAAATTTTCGAAAACATTTCGTAATGTAGAAAATGCTACATGTACATAATAAATGTACATAGAGATGTACATAACACTCACATGGGATGAGGTCCACTTGATTTTTTAATTTTGGTGGGACCCACTCAATGTGAGTGTTATGTACACCTCTATGTACACTATTATGTACATATAGCATTACTCATGTAAAAGTTTATTCACCAAGCTTTCGTCACCACTTGTTTTCTACTTGAGACCTAATTTATAAAGCTCTAAATAGTACCTAATTAAACCTAATCCATCCATCAAAAGAAAGAATAAAATTCATAACACAAATTTTAGTGTGTTACGGCGGCCTAACTATTAGACAAATCGACCAGTAATATTTATTTTAAAAAATTACACGTTTGTAATTTTATTTTTTCCTGTTGTAAAGCATGCATATTTGTTGAAAATAAATGTCTAATCGTTCGACATGTCTAACAAGAACCTTATTGATTTTTTATTCAGCAATAGAATATTAGTAAAATCGGTAAATTTTACCACACACACAATTGCAGCGGAGTTGTCAGATTTTTTACCGTAGGATCAACAAGTATCCACACGAGTATTTATTAATTTAATTGTAAAAAAAAAAAAAAAAAATTGTTAACTGCAATGAAAATTGTATTTAAGGTTGAACCTATTGATAAAATCACTATTTTTGTGGATAATTTGCTTTCTCATATGCATGTGGGGTTGCTGCTCTTGGCTATATAAAACTTAGAAAAATTGAATTTTTAAAATTTGAATCTAAAGAAGGCTAGTAAAGGGTAAAAGTAAATCAAAAGAACAAAAGAATCTCAGCAGGCTTTGATTATAAAATTAGGAAAAAAAAAATAATAATGAAATAAGCTTTCACCCTTACTCTACATTAAAAAATAGAAGAATAAAATATTTATAGGTAGGATTAGAATGATGATAAAGATGAAGGCTAATTGCAAATATAGTCCTATTATATTATGAAAGTAGCAATTTTGGTCTCACTTTAGTGACATATAACATTTTAAGTCTTATAATTTAATGTTTTACTGCTGTCAAAATTTTTTTAATTATATATTTAGGAAGGATTGTGATTAGTATTTTGATTCACGGAATTTAAAATTTTGCTGCAGTTCAATCATTTGACAGTTGAATGACCGAATCGCAACAAAAATGTAAATTGAAAAAAACTTAAATTGTCATATGTCACTCTAATGGGAGGTAAATTGAGACATCCATATTATAGACCAAAAATACAATTTAGTCAAGATTAAAACATGAGTTGAACATGAAAAAGATGTGAAATTTTTTATTTTTACTTATTTCACCAAAAAGTCCCACCACTACTAAAGCATGTGGTTTCATGTAACAAATAACTATGAAAGTTTGCCAACATTTATCCAACAGAAGATGAAAAGGCACATGAGGCAATTATATTTTTTCATGGAATTATGCAATATGTAAAGTGATAACACATGTAAAAAGTACCCACATTCTTGGTTTGATTTTGACTACCAATTTCATTTTGATCTATCCAAAATGTTGTATTATATAGAGTTGTAGGGTTTGTAGCATTTTATGTCATATGTAAATGTTATAAACAAGTATCTAGTGTTAAAAAAAAAAAAGCTTGAATTTATCTTTATATAGAGATAAGAGTACTATAAAACACGACGTTTTGTTTCCATAATTACATGACATAAATATGCGTTTTTGTTATAAAAGTATGTCAAGTCGACCCACGAAACAGTTCGACCGATTCATACATAAATTTGTGTATGTTAAAATGTGGGATCAAAATTATGGGATGAGAGGAGAATAAAATGTCTACCACACTCTAATATATATTTTCTTGACAAGACACTATAGTTGAAAGATCCAAACTTTCATCACACATTATTATATGTGGTTTGGTTAAAAATGAGGCAAAATAAGTTATCTAGAGCTCATCAAATTTGTGTCCATCCACTTTTATATTGTTTACAATTTCCTTTGAAGGGTTTAGGTCTTTCACATTTTTCTTACATTATTTGTTCCTATGAAAAAAAAAAAAAAACATTGATATGAAATTCCACTTGCAAAGTCTTAAAGAATCTCCCAATTTGCAGATAATAACAAATCTAACAAGACAGTTTGAGTTTGTTCAGATTAGAAGAATTGGGAACTTTTTTGTGGGGTGAGAAAATTTTAACCAGTGGGAAAATGAAGATTGGGTGAAGCAACTTGCCTCTCACAAAGTGAATAAAAAATATATTTAAGGTTTATTTTCATAAATGTAATTTATTTTTTTCTTTAATTGCATTAAACCCAATTTTAGAAGACAAATTGAGTGTTTGTAACCGTTAGATCATCATGTAATGATCGGGATAGTTGATATAACGGTTACAAACCCTGACGAAATAATTCTAGTCTAACGAGTACAAACTCTAACGGAATGGTTTAGCATCTCCCAAAAATGCAAGCCTCAAGAAAGTGTGTGTATTTTTTTTTTTTTTTTGTACAAAGAAAGGAGGCCGAAGCCTAGAGCCACTAAATAGTGATATTCCATGGGTAAGCAACGCCTAAGACGTCATGCGTTAGCCACGTCTTCATAATTTCAAATTTTTGACTTAATTTTTGTGATTTGGGTCAAAAGTCACACTATCTGTACTTGTTCCAACTGTATCACTTTTGGACCGTTCCTTTCAAAGACTCAAAAACACGTTATTTTTGAAGATTCTCTTTAATTATTTTTTTTCATTAAATTTCATCATTTGTCGTGAATATATTTCTTTCTTTCTTTCTTCCTTATTCTCTGCAAGGGATTAATAAGTAGGATTTCTGAAAAAAATAATCCTATTTTACACTGAGATAAAATATTCGTGATAATTTTTTGTTGTAAAAGACCAGCTGGGAACATTATTTTTTGGTCCCATTATTGCACAACACAACACAATAATGGAACCTCATCTTACATAACCATTATGAGGAGATTAGACGGTCCCGCTACGAAACTATTCCGTCGATGCTTGTAACAGTTAGACCAACTATCCACGACGGTTATATAATGATCTAACGGTTACAAATACCGACAAAAAAGTTCCGTAACGGGATTGTAGGATTTCTCTCACCAGAAGGGAAAATGAATAAGTCTTGAGGCAAGTTGACTGGAACCTAAAGAAAAGAGATGTCTTGAATTAAGAATAAACATTGAACAACTTTCATATGCAGAAATTCATATTTTGAACTATTCAAATTTGATCATTTCCCCGAACTACTCATTTTTTCTTGTTAAAATTTGATAAAAATAAAAGGAAAACCATCACCAAAAGAATCGAACTCTAACAAATTACCGGGTCATTTGAACTACAATGCTCGTAAACCGTAATACTCACATTCAATAACTAGACTATATATCATTAGAACAAAATTAAAACACCGACCAGTGCGAACCATTACCAGCCAGGTAAAACCGAGCAAGCAGGTCGGGTGGAGTAATACACAATATATATACCTGTACAAGTTAAAGCCAAAAAAAAAAAAAAAACACTCGAGTACTTAACCGCTGGTTGGCTTTGAGCTCTACCAGGGTAATTTCTTCTCAACCCTTTTTTTTCAGTAAATTTACATTTACCATCATCCAATTTGTTGGCTGTTGTTTTACCTTCAAAAGTCAGTGTCACAGAATTTACCGTCAATCCTATTTTGCACGGCTTTCACTGCAGCAACTCTTGCAGCCATGGCAGCCCGATTTGCTGCAGCTACTGCTCTGTTCACTTGTTCGTCTACCCGATGTAAGTGAATTGCATTTTCAGCTGTTTTTCTAGCCGCCTGCATAAAAACAAGAATTTGCCAAAAAAAACTTTAGACATTGTGTTCATCTAACAATAAGAAATCAATCAAATTTTAGCAACATTTGACATAAATTTCCAAAGGGGTAGCAATATTTGCAGTAAAAGAACCAAACTTGATGTAACTATGTGTGTAATTGCAAAAAAAAAAAATATCAATTGTTAACCATATTAAGCCAAAAATCGGGTAATTCGGTAAATATACTAATAAAACTCGAACCTGGACAGCTCGGAGAACGGCATCAGTTAGTGGGGGAATACGGGTCTTTAGACTGCCGTTATCCCATTCGCCACATCTCGTTTCGCCATTTCGGAAAGTATACATGCCATAGCCTTGCTTGCGTCCTTCGTGCCATGAACCCTCGTAAAAATGGCCGTTTGCAAAATGGTAGACACCAAACCCATTGATTTTATCTCCAAAATATTCCCCGGCATATCGATCTCCATTTCTACAAAATTTATAAAATTGCACCAGTTTGCATTTATTTTGAGACTAAAGTTTTGAACTTCAGGGAGTGCAAGACTACCAAACATACTTAATCTGTGGATTCAGAACAAGATTTGTATGGTGGCCTACCAAAAAGAGGCTGACACATCTCAAGACAATTTATGAGCAAGTCTTATCCAAAGTTTGGATCTTTTGAATTTAAATAGCATTTTCAGTAGATCATGTACAATTGAATTTCACAAGATTTTGAACAATTATTCTCCTTCTCGAAGATATACAGAAGATTAAACAACTCAACTCAACCCAAACTTCAAAATATTCGAACCACTGGCCGAGCCAGTTTTTCGGTGAATTTGTGGTGATAAATGATAAATCCCCCCTCAAAACTTCACCACTGTAAATTTAGAAGCTTTCAAGGCAGAAAATTTCAGACTGTAAATGCAATTCACTGAGTCAACTCAACTGTGATACTCCCATGGGCCAAACCGAATAACACACACAGAGACAAAACAAGTAAAAGCTAAAATTAGAACAATCATCTTCAAGCACATAGCTTTCAATTCAAGCCAAAAACCAAAACTGCTCCACCAACAAACTCACACATCACATCAACTACACAACAAAACATACAAAACCCAGAAACAAAACAGAACAAAAAAACTAAAAATTAGATAAAAAAATCACTCACCTGAAATGGTAACAGCCAAGGCCATGCTTCACCCCACACTTGAACTCCCCAATGTAACAGCTCCCATCAGCACAGGTCTGCACCCCAACGCCATGGCTCTGACCATTACGCCACTCCCCAGCAAACGAATCCCCAGTGTAGAACTTGTAAACGCCATAGCCATGCCTCAATCCCTGCTTGTACTGCCCTCTGTACTTGCTCCCCCTCGCCCAGCTCTCAATCCCATAGCCGTCGTACTTCCCGTCGACCCAATCCCCTTCGAATCTGCCATTCACAAAGTAGTTGTACACTCCACTGCCGTTACACCTCCCTTTGTGAAATTCCCCCTCGTAAAAATCGCCATTGCTGTAAAACTCAACCCCTTCCCTCGTAATCCTTCTGATACTCCGATTTTTCGTCAATCGACGAGGTTGCCGTACCTCGTCGAGATCGGAATCGCCGATGAACCACTGCACGGGCTTCGACGGCGCCCGGGACGCGAAGCAAGGTAACCCTAATTTCCCGGCGCACGCGTCGCACATTTGCTTGAACGAGTCGAAATTTCTGCTCATCGAGGCCCTGTTCCTCGTCAGGTAGAACAGGAAAACGGCGACGAAGATAAGGGCCAGCAGGAGGTTCTCGGAGGTCGGAACGTCCTCCCTGTAGTAGAACGAGAAGATCGTGTAGGCCGAGAGCAGGAACACGGCGAGGACCGGCGCCAGGCGCGACGAACCGGATCGAACCGGGTGATGGGTCGCCGGTCTGCCGTGGGGCTTCTGCTCCTCGAGGTCGCCAGGCTCGATCTCGCTGACGGAGGACAGGCTCTGGATCGACGATCGGATGGTCGGCGACGACCGGAGGAGCGACGAGTTGGTCCTAGTGAGCTTCGCCTGAGTTTTCTGGCCGTCCATTTTTTTTTATCTTTTTTATTCTCACCTCCTCCTGATTTTCAGTGGGCCCAGCTCCTGTACCTGGATATTCTAATAACGTGCTCCGACGCCGGTTTCATCTCCGGCGGAGTGTTTAAATTTTTCCGGCGAAAAAAAAGCAAAAGAAAAAAAAAACAGTGTGCGCGTAGTGTGTGAGAGAGAAAGAACGCGTAGTGTGTGAGAGAGAAAGAAGTTATTGGAATTGTTCAGAGAGTGGCCCGAGTTTTGATGTGGGGATGTGTGTGTGTGTGTGTGTGGAGATTTATATATGTGTTGGGAAAATTGGGGGGAGTGGTGGGGCCCACGTGAGTTGATATGGGCCGTTGATTTGGGATCCGTTGTTGGAAACTGGCTTGTGATTATGGACCGTTGGATGTCGGAGTTCCCGGGGTCGACGGGGAAGTGTAGGCCGTCAGATCAGATCATTTCAATTTTCAACTATATGTCTATTTCAAAATTTTGCCTTTTAAGAAAAAAATAAAAAATAAAAAATGTAAGAGCATCTTTTACCTGATAATATTAAATATTGTATTTTATGCCACATGGTATACATTAAAAAAATTTAATACGATCCAATTATTATAGTTTTTAAATGAAAATACACATCTATATTATGTACTTTTTTTTAATACTAATTTGTGGAGAATATTTATATTATGTATTTATGTACTATTTTTTGTATGTTATTTTGTAGAGCATAGTATTAAATTATGAACACATGGTGAAAAAAATATGAGTGTTTAATCATAACTCTTTTAAAAAATTAGCAAGTTAAATTTATTTTGATTTTAATGCAATTGCCAAAATAACTATTTAATTGTTTTCTATTTGGTAAAATTATTATTCTATCAAGTTGCTGAGTGGGAGGTGTGCATTTGGATAGAGATTTTTGAAGATTAAAGTTTTTATAATAAAGAGCATTTTATATTGGTAATGTGGAGGGGATCACATCTATTTGATTTTGTGATTGTGAATTAAAAAAAAAAAATGCTACGGTCTGGGTACCATTTCGTTTATTTTAATTGTTGGATCCACGTGTAGTTAGATAAAATAGATAATCCAACAGTAAAGCACCCGACGAGATGGTACCATAACCGTAATATTTAAAAAAAAAAATTAGCTATATTTCTCAATTTTTCTATCAAACGAAGATGTTGTAGCTACTTTTTCAATAAAATAAAATTTATTATTAGTCTCAGCCTAGCCTAGTGTGAAAGTATATACAAACTTTTAGATGATACATACATATAGAAATATGATATAATTGTGTTAAGAGATATTTAAACATGTGAATGTTGAGTAGGTTACCTAATCCATTTTTGATATTGTGATTGTGGATAAAAAATTGAATTTAAATAAATTAAACAAGCTTTTGTCATGTTTGATAATGTTGTATACAAAGAAAATAAGGATGTGTTTTTTTTTTTTTGTAAATAATCTCATTTTTGTTTTCAAAATAAACTCTACTTATTATAATTCATCTTATATTATGTTGTCAAATAGTAAGTGCTACTTTTATGTATATATATATATATATATCTACTTTTATTTTAATATCTTAGTTTAAAATAAATATATCTAAGTATGACATTTCATAATAAAGTATTTTTTTAAAGTATAGTTATCTAGCAGTCAGACAACAATTTTTATAACTCAGGGTGTGTTTGTTAAATGAATAATTTTGAGTGAATTAACTCAAAGTGATTTTTTTTTTGAGTTAGCTATGATTAATTTAGAAAAAGTGGTGCAGTTAATTGTTAGTGAGATTTTGAATTTGTATTAAAATAATATTTAAAATAAAATAATCAAAATTAGTTTGATGTAAAAGTAGGAGAGAGATGATATGAAGTGATAGTTAGTTAAAATTATGTGAATGGATGAATATTGAATTAACGTTGATATGATGTGTAAAAATGAGTTGATATGATGTGTAAAGATGATTGATTGTTATTATATAATTATACTAATAATATCATCATAATAAAGTCGAGTTAAATTTTAATTAGAATTAAATTAGTTTGAGTTTTTCCTTTAATAAACACAGCCTTAGTGTCTCACACCTAACCTTTTTGCCTTTTCTGCAAAATAAGTGAGAATTTAAAATTTGAAAATGATACATTAATCAACCCATCAATTACATATTATTAAATTAAATATTCTAATTAGCTATCAATTGTTATAAATTTATTATCAAATATCAGATGTGAAAGGGATATAACTATAACAAATTCAATTTGGACCCCCTTTCAAATGTCTGTCAAGAACAGATGAACACAATTGCTTATTTGTTCTTTTTTTGTTAGTAAATCTTTTCTAGATAGTTTTGGTGAATCTGATTAGAAATTAATTGCTGAAAAATATCAAAAATTGAGCAATAATTCTACATTTATAACCAATCATTAATTAACACAATAAATGATAAAAAAAGAAAAAGAAAAGAAAAAATTAATTAACACAATAAATTTACTCATAAAAAAGTCCATCAGCCCACATACCAAATGAAGAAAATTATC